GAAATTTTGAAAATTGCAATTTTTTGCATATAACGACTGATCGATCCAAACTATTTTCAATAGGGTTCGTCCTTGGGTCAAAACACGTCAGTGGACCAAATTTCTTGAAAATATGTCAAGAATTGCATCCTGGGATTGAACAAAAATTTTCATGGGGGGGCGTCAAACGGACAAACGGACAGATTGAAATGCCTTTGCAAGGGTACATTAAGTTTGTATGGATGTAAGCAAGACCGAGAAGGGCTTAAGATAGGACCACTTTTTAAAATACCGATTGATTCAGAAAGCGTTTCTGCTGGCTTGTTTGTCTGATATTCTTGTATTCAACCTACGAGGGAGAAGGATTTGGGATTTTAGCCCAAAGGCAAACGCTATTAAAAACGGTTCGAATCGGACCACATTTCTGGACACTTTCCCCGTATGACGCCTTATTTGGAAAATTATTCATTATAGAGCTGTAGAGTGCTGTAGGCTGTTTAACCCCTGGTGAGCTGAGGCGATATATGAGGGATGAAATGTAACGGTTCAGTTTCATCGACAACGAATTAAAATTCCATTAAAATTCTTTCCAAATTGCAATCCGTAGTCAGGTAACTACATATATAGACAGAAAGTCATTCTATGAATAACTGTATTAAGCGATGTAGTGGTGTAGGGATAGATAACAGTGGATAATGTCCTACTATAATGTTTTTTAGTTGTTTTATAGAAAAAAAAAATTATTTTTTAATTTGAAATAAAATTAAGCCGAAAATTGATGGTTGTCTACGTACGTAATCTATCCGCTTTAGATATTGAATGTCAATTTAGATGCAAAATATTAGTACTTAGAATATCGGAAATAATCAAATTGTTGCTACAGAAATTTTCGAAAGGTATTTCAGTTCTTCCAAATCTGGAGAAGGCTTACTTGATAGTCAAGTCAGCTTTATTGCAAATGCGTATTGCTCTACAATAGTTTGTCTTTTTTTTTTATAAAATTTTTTTGTAAAGATTTTCTTTAAATTAAATGCATGCTCATGATTAAGTATAGCGATTGATTTGAATTTTTCACAAATTGATTGATTATAAATTGAAATCATTATCAACATATCAGGCACGCTAAAATTTTCAATAAAATTGTTTGCACTTACGACACACAATCACACACGCAAACACACACACATACACACACACACACACACACACGCACACAAATGCACAAGAATTTATTTAAAATAATGAATGCGCATTGAATTGTGCATCCACAGCTTTTTTCTAACGATTCTTCTTCTTCCTCTTTTTTTTTTATTGTTTGTTTATTTTATGCCCACGAAACCCGCCGGCCTATGAAATGAATATCATTCGCATAATTAAGGTTTGAGTGCAAAGTTCGATCGCGAAAATGCTATACGAAATTCCTAGAAGGATGAAAATCATCGAATTATGATATGCGAAAGGAAAACAGCCTGGTTATTGGGTTGGATTGAATTGAACTGCAGAAATGTTTTTAGTCTTCTACGAGAATAGCTTTCACTTCTTTTTTTCCATAATTTAAAATCCATCCATTTTTGTATATCTAGTCTATAATTTATCTTTTATAGTTAAATGTCTGCAATTTTCATGGTCATGCCTCTCATTAACCTGATCGACAACCTACACACACACACACACACAAACACACGCACGATAAAAAAAGTATTTAGTCTTTGGATGAATGTAACAAATTTTATAAAAAAAAAACAATTAAGTTTGAAAAAAAAAAGAGGTTATCGCGCTTTAAGTTTTCTACGTGTTAAATTAAATGCAATCTTACTAAAATTTTCAGGTTTTTTTTATTTTTTTTTTTTATTACTGCTTGTATTTTAAATAAATATATTCATATGATAATTATAGCTTTTCTTCATCCGCACCATCATGGAGAGGATAATATTTATGATTTTTTTATTTATTTATTTCGATATGTATATGCAGTTCGAGTATACATATATATATACATATTATATGCATATATATATATATATATATACCTATATACATCTAAGAGACAATAAGAAAATGCGAGCCGCTCTACGTATTCACTCGTTTATCGACGTATGACGTACGATTTTGAATTGGGTCGAATAAAATTGACGTCAACGAATTAGAAATAGATTTACCGACATCACTTTGACACCTAATGCAATTACTGATACAGATGCCGATTTATGATTTTTTCAAGAAAAACGAAATATGTCTAGACAAGCTTAATACATCTTTAAAGTGAATCGGGGACACTCATGGCACTTCAAGCATTTTTCAGCAAGAAATAGGTCATATGACGACTCCATCCAATGAAATACGAAATTTTTAAAAGAAAAACTTTTAAGCTTTGATTTTGTTCGGAGTGGATTGATTTTTGATACCCCACATCGCTTTTGGTACCAGGGTGTATTGGGTTTGCGCAGATGTATTTGAGATTTAGAAAAACTTGAGATAGACCCACATTTTAGTGTAGCGATTGAAAACATCTTCTAAATTGATTTAAGTTGTCCATCCCTACGTCCATATCGTACTCTTGTGGTCCATCTACACGCCGCAATTTTCAAGAAATTTTGATGAAAGTAACAACGTTGATGTGTTTTGACCCGAAGCCGAACGCTATTTAAAACGGCCCCGATAGCACTGTTTTTTCGATCAGTTCGCATAAAACACATTATTTCGAAATGTCGTTACCTAAAGAGGTATAGGGTATTTTAAGGAGGACAGTGTCCCACTATAGAGTTTTTGCTTGTTTTTATTAGCGTTAATATGGGAATGAGGAACACATTCGCTTCTGTTGCTCTAAAAACGAGGAAAGGAAATACTCGAACAACTTCTCCAATCATAAAAATTACGTCTTTTTTTGAATAAACTTATATATGGGAATTTATTACAGCTTTTTTTTTTTAATTAACAGCAGATGGGGAACACTATGTGATAACGAATAATATACCTTGTGATTGGTCCCTTTTTATTCTGCAATTCCTGCAGGAGATTGCATGGAAACTATCTTTGCAAGAAATTTTGCGGTTCATCCAATTTGTATACAAGCATTCTTGATAAATCGTTTACATAATTGAGTTTTAGTAGAGTTTAGTGTGGATCAAGAGGGTTCTCTGAACGTTTCCCAAAAAACTCCACATGATTTTTAGTCCTTATATTACTTATTTAGAGGCGATGTTAGAGTGGTTTACCGTGGATGCCTGCCTCGTGGCTTAACCAAGGGATGTCCGCTGAAACAACGTGTTTTTTTAACGAGAACCGATGCTCCATTGCCCCATTGCGCGGAGAGGAATTATTTGTAGAGATTAGTGGTCTAACCAAGCCTGGAGTACCAGAAAGACTTCAAGTGTATGACCAAAAAACCTACTCTGGGAAATATTGAGGCCTATCATCACCGCTTTTGGCGGTGTTTGAAAACCGGAGCCACCACGATACTCCACAACACATCATATCCAGCAGTTAAGACGCATTAACAAAATTACAAACTTCCCTTCAAAAGAAGGTCTTCTACAGAGCATAGGTGATGTACAGTAATAGGTCTCCTGATCTCCGTGGAGCTTAAATTTAAACTATAAAGCCTTTAGCATAGTGTACGCGACCATAGTACGATCCCGATTGGCCAAATCCACATTATCCTTTCGCAAGATGTATGTGTATCGACAGAAAACTATTGTAATAGCTTTCTTTCCACATGCTCTCGACTACTTATTATTTCGCAGTATTCTATAACCTAACTGGTTCTTTTCAGCTAGTTTCTATTTACTCCATAGCAGTGGTTTGTTGAGAAAACATGTCCTCTTTTATGAAGAAGACAAAACTTCTTCCAGTGCATCTTTTTAGCCATCTATAAAAAAAAACCGTCGCCAGGTTATAGATGCTCAAGCTTTAAACTCTTCTTGGCCAGGAAAATGATCGCTGCCCAGGATCAGCGCGTGGAGTTGAGAGTTTCGGCACGTTTATGCCTCCCATTTAAAATCGTCGGTTATTTTGTGAGTACTTTTCCAACCCCTGGAAGTAGAACGAGTAACGTGGAATGATGTTGTTTGATGTATATATCCAGTCGTTCGAATAACGTAAAAGATTCATTCCACGTGCTTTTAGATATAAGAAATTTGGTTACTATCCAGTTTGAAGAGAGTAATTAAATACATGTCGAAAAAGTTTATTATTTAAACTCAAAGGCATTTAGGGAATGGCACAAATATATCATTTCCTTTATTAAGTTCAATCATTTTTTTGGATCATCTTATATAAGAAGCGTAATAAAAAAATTTATATAAAAACATTTCATACCTGAAAGTTGATCAAATGGATATTAAAAGCCCATCAGTAGATGGGCAGAGAATATATGAGTTTTTTTTTTTTTTTTTGTTTAATGTATTTGGACGTCTATGACCGTTTATCAGTAAAAACCACCAGCGTCGGCCTCCGCTTATCATAGTGTTATTCAATGGTTCAGAGTATCTCATCTCCACAATATTTAATTTATCAGCTGAAAAATATTTCAAAAAAAAAAAAATAATAATAATAATAAATAAATAAATAAATAATAATAATAAAAGAAATTTTGTAAAAAATATATAGAGAAGAGGATGAGCGTATGGTACGGTAATCAATTTTTGTTCGCTGTTCGCTGAGATAGTGTAACCATAATAAAAATCATTAACGCTTTTCTAGACCTCCACGTTAAACATTTTATTTAGTAAGCTTTTGACCAGCTAACGATCAAGTGCCTTAGTTGAGAGAAAGACCAAAAGCAAAAAAAAACAAACAAAAAAAAATCATAGAAAATAATTTTTAATTAAAAAAAAAAAAAAAAAAAAAAAAAAAAACAAGACATACGAACAAATAATTGTTTTCGTTTATCTTTGAGAGTTTTTTTCTTAAATAAATAAATAAAAATATAAAAATAAAATCAAATAAAAAAAAAAAAAAGAAAATCTGTGATATTTAAAGGTCTCGAGAAACAAGAAAAACAAAATAAAAATAGAATAAATGAAAAACTATCTAAATTCATTTTATTTTATAATTAAAGAAAGGTGCGTTTTTTACTTTATTCGCAGAAGAAATTAAAAGAAAAAAAAACAAAAAAAAAAAACGAAAAATTTAATCGAAAAAAATTTCAAGTTATCAGTTTCTTCAAACAATTTCAAAATACTTGACCTACATTTTTGTGGCTTTAAAGTAAATCTTTTTTATAAGCAAATAAAAAAAAAAAAAAAAATGAAATAAAGAAATAAATAAACAAAAACAACAATCAATGTGCGATAACAGAAATTATTAAAATTATATCTAACATGGAAAAGAAAATAACTAAGCTTGAAAGTCATAAGCACACGCCCCTTTTTTTTTTTTTTTTGGTTTATTTTTATTATTTTCATTTTCTTTACACAATACTTCTTCTATGCGATACTTATCAACTTTTGCTACCATTCTTCACTTGAAAACACGCTACCATCAGTCGTTTCATGTGCAACAACTAGAAATGCGTATACAATTCAGAAGCTCCTTGGAATTTATTTAAATGTAATGAACTCGGGAGCTCTTTTCAAAGTCATTATCAGGGAAAAAAAGAGAAGGGATTGTTCCTAGTCAATGTAAAGGTCGCAAACTTTCTAATGGCTTCCCGGCTACGGGGAAATGCTAAAGCGAATCTAAAAAGATTGTTTTCACTTTCACTCTATAAGTGCCTGATAAATCAGGAGAGAGAGGGAAAGAATAGTAATATATATGCGCTTAGGGATGAATTTCGAATATTTCAACTCTTTAACCCTAGATTGCCTATAGTGTTTGAAATAGGTCAATTTGGCTTAGGCCTCAAAATTGAAAATTTTTTTTTTTTTTGAGAAACTTTATTCAACACACTTTTTACATGCACAAGTATATTCCATTTTTTTTTACGGCCCTTCTTTCATTTCTTAAGCTTTATACTTGAACTTGAAAATTTAAGCGTGTTGATGACTTAACGAGTTAATATCAAATTTATTCGCTTTATTCGGCATTTTATTTTAGTAAATGCCATCTGGCTTTAGTTGAGAATAATTGCTCATCGACTATTATTATGTCTGCGCCAGGTTTACAACATGTCTGGCAAATATTCAATAAATTTTATTTATTTTATTATTTAACGTGTCAATTTAACGCACTCACACATTAAAATCGGTAAAGCCTATATGGATGGATGGATCGATGAGGTGGTGGAGGTGATTTTATTATTTAAGGCAGACAAATAAATTCCAATACTAAAAGCTTAAAGCCCTACCATCTAAGACTGTTCGCTTTACTGCAAAATTCCACCGACTATTGAGTTGTTAGTCGGGATTCTTTGCCTTCTCGGCTCCACTAAAAAAATTATAAGAAAATTATTTTGGGTATTCCCAATACGTAGCAATAAAATCGTAACAAAGTCAAGTTGACTTGCTCCGACAATCTAACGGAAATACGTTAGAAAACTTTATCCATAGATTGTATGTCTTTTGGTTGGTCGATCAAAGACAGTCATCTTAAATATATATTAGATCGATATCCGCTATAATTATCTTATATGTGTTTTAAAATTTTATTTATTTATTCATTTTGTTTTATTTGAATCACTTATGTAAAAATAATGCCTCCTAGGAGGGTTTGCTCATAGAGGAGGGAGGAGCAATGTTTATATGCATTCGACTTGAAAGTGGAAAGGTGGCAATGAATAAATTTTATCTTGACTAGGATTTTCATGAGAGAAATCTTGTACATGCCCTCTCTGTCCCCATTGCCACTCCGCTCTCACTCATATCAATCATAAAGTAAGAAAATTCCGTTTGCTCTTCTTTTGGATCTCTGCCATTGCATGTAAAGACACAGTCGATTTATCGACTATTAAGTTCGAAAGTTCTTCGAGAGTTGGAGTTGGATATTCGGCCTATAAGTCTTGCAATTCAATTTTTGGTCCTCTAGGCCGTTTTTTGTTATTGACATCAAAATTGAAACCAATTTTAAACCGTTCACAACGACACAGGTAATTGGCGTATGAGGAGCAGCATCACCATAAGCGTCTGAAAGTGTTTGATGGGCTTCGGCAACAGATCTCTTCAAATGAGCAACAAAAGTAGTGAATTTGGAAGAAGAAGATTTTTAAGCGCCATTTCTTAGTCATTATTTACCTGTAGAAGGCGCTGATCGAATTTTTTGCAAACGCTTAAAATCGGTCTTAGATAACTACCTCTTATAATAAAGAAGTATAAATCTCTCAGATGATGCGATGGTCGAGTTAACTTTGCTCTTAGTTATAGTGATTAGTCAGTGGGTAACGTTTTAATATTTACAAATTGTCCATACACCCATTAGACTAGGGCCGCTTTCATATCTCTTCCTCTTCCGTTACCATATTTCACGAATAGAAGGCGTTCCTTGGTTGACTGATCGTACAATAGAAAAAAAGTTGTTCGTTTATTGAGGGGATCTACAAGAGGATCGCTGGTAAACAATTCTCTATGGTATTGAAGGGCCTCGTACAGCCTTTAAATGGATGTATATAGGTTTCTAGCTATCAGCAAGGGTTAGAAATCCTGATTTTTATTGAGATGTCTGCCAAGAAGATTTTTTTTTATCGTAGAAGTGCATTCTTAAGTGAAACGTGACCGATTTTAAACTTGATCCGTAGAACCCTAAATAAATGTCCAAGCTTTTATACCATTTATTGCGAATTTGGGAACTACGCCCGTCCGTAATATATACCCGAAGCATCTTATTGCGATCACTTATCGAGCACTTTAGTTAGTGGTAGTAGCTAAATTTTGGATTAATAAAAATTGTAAGAAGGATGTCAAAGAATTCGGCTTAAGCTGAGTACAGCTTCTCTTGTAATTATTGTTTTGCTTGTGTTTCTCTCATTTATATATGAGAAACTGTTGTTGTTATGATTACATGAGAAAAAGCTTTTTTTTTTTCATTTGTATGATTTTCATATAATCATAACAATCGTCAATAATAATAATAATAATAATAATAAAAGTAATAACAACAAAATGAATGAAAAGAGTAGAATGTAGACTTTGTACCGCAAGAGTGTGAAAAAGATAAAAAGAAACAAACAAAAAAAAACAAAAAAACTTAAAAAACTTACATTTAACTGAGAGCGGCTTTTGTTTACCTAACCAGTCAAGTCAGTCAACTTAAAACAAATTTTCCAAACGGAACAATGTTTAGGTTTCGTCGATATAAACAAGATAATTACATTAATTCCCAAGCAGCGATTGCTTTTTCATTTTTACATTAATTTTTATTAAATTCAAATAAATAATAATAATATTAATAATAATAACAACAACAACAAAAACAACAAATTCGATTTTCTTCTACTAAATAAAAGACTCGCTTAGACCTTTCATAAACGTTTGGTAAAAACATTTGCATTGAAGGTCTTTTTAATCACTTATTGATAATTCATTATTGAGTCATAGTGTGTTAAGCGATTACTTGAAAGATTTTTCGATATCGAAAGCGATATGCGATGAAAGTTTTGTATAATTCTCTACATGTCAGAGCTCGATTCGACTTTGAACGTAATGCTCGCAAATGCAATATAAATTTTTCACTTTGCATTTCAGGTGAAAGTAACACATATCAATAACAAGTACAGACAGACGGACAGACAAATTTAAATTGTTTTCAAAACTAATATAATTCTTAAGAGTCATGTCAACACTAAACGTATATCTCTCGCGAGACGAGAATATTTGCTTCTTTTTTTTTTTTTTTCTTGAAGCACTAAATAATTAGTTTCGAGACGTTTATCTCATATTGTGTTTACCTTCTCTTTCTTCATATCAGACCTAACTAATAATTATCGAGTAATTTAAATAAAGAGATAGGAAATGTAAGATATTTTGTGCTATATATATATACAGTGCTAAAGATTTGAAATATGTTAATTTTATCATGACTTATGTAACTTTTGGTAAAATTCATCAAAAAGTACGTAAAAATCGATTATCGAGAACTGAAAACGGCTCAAGAAATAGATAAGCCTATATATTATATATCGTATCTTATATATATATACGCTGCCCTTCTTTCTTCTTCTTCTTTTCTAAAAAATCCACCACAGTAAACAAGTTCGCAATGCGGTATATTACTTAAGAAGCGGGACCATAAAGAAAAAAGGAACAACACTGGACTAAAGACTATCGCTTCGATTGACCCAAGAACATCTTTCATTTACTATCAGATCTTTACATTTTCCCACAAGTTAGATTAGAAAGTTGCCGGCCTTTTACATAGAACTATAGAGATCTTAGCGTCCTTTTCTAATTTCATTCGAACATTGCGTCCAGCTGTCTATCCGCATATCTGTTCCAATTCTTGATATATTAGAAAACAAATGAGAAATTTATTTACTTATTTTCTCGAATTTATAATAATTTACAATAAAAAAAACAAGCGATAATGTTATAGTGGACCAAGGCTCACTGGGCACGTCTTCAATAGCCTATCTCGCTCTACAGTTATCCATCTAATTATTTTTCAAAATAAAGCATTATATGGGAAACGGTCTGACGGAATAGCTGAAGACAGGCATAAAAAGTAAAAATACTATTGTGGTCCATGGGGCACCATTAAACAACCTATCTGGAAGTCCTTGCACACAGGTTGATATTGAAAATTAATTAAATCGGCCAAGGGACACGCCCACTACACCACACAAACTGAGAACATCTTTGTTTTCCAAAGGGAATACAATGGTTTTTTTGCGCATTACTCCCTAACTGCAACAAATAAATGTGCAAAAAATTTGAACCCATATTGTGTGGGCGTTGCTATAGCTGCACAAATATTGAAAAAGATTAATCACGACTAACCTACCCTACGGTAGTGTCAAAAAATATAATTTTTTTTCAATACATTTATAAGGCGCAGAATCAAACTTCAAAAACGGCGCAAAGTATATAAGTTCTTGGGCAATTTCAAATTTGGAATGAACTTAAGCGTGTCCGTCTGTCTACTGTCAACTCGGTAGTGCTTATGGCAAAGACATTGCCTACAAAATTGGAAACGA